GGGGTGGGGAGGCATGCTCGTGCACGTGGGTGCTGGGTAGGGTATGGGCCATGGAGCCACTGTCCTGTCCGACCCCCGCTGAAACAGCCTCACAGTCCAGGATGGTGTCTCGTTGCGTGTTGAGTATCTCAAAGGATGGAGACTCTGCAGCCTCCCTGGGTACCCTGTGCTAGCACTTGAACTACAAAGGTGTTTCCTGATGTTCGGAGGGAACCTCCTGTGTTCCAGTTTGTGTCCATTGCACCTTGTCCTGTCACTGGGTGCCACTGGGAAGAGCCAGGCTCTGTCCTTTTTGCACCCTCCCTGAAGGTATTTCTATACATTAATAGGATCCCCCCAAACTTCCTCTGCTCCAGGCTGAGCAGACCCAGCTCCTGCAGCCTCTCCTCATAGGACAGGTGCTCCAGTCCCTTCAGCACCATCGTGGCCCTTTTCTGGACTTGCCCCAGCAAGTCCATGCCTTGCCCAGGTGAGCCCAGGCTGGAGAGGACACAGTAATGTTGCCTCCCTCTCCCGGTACTCCCCTCCCCTGCTCTGCTGGCAGCGCTCTGCCTGGTGCAGCTGGGGCCACTGATGGCTTCTGCCGTGAGGACACATCCCTGGCTCATGCTCAGCCCAGCGGGACCCCAAGGTCTGTCCCCACAGAGCTGCTTTCCACCTGGTGGCCCAGTCTGTGTTGGTACATTTCCCACCTGGGAACCAGGATGTATCTCCCCTGTAAATACCTGGGGAATGTGGCTGGGCTGTGGGACAGCACTCCCAGCCCCTCACCCTTCACACCCCCCACATTAGGGCCCCTGTGCCATGGGGGAATGTTGCTCAAGGCGGCTGGTGGGTCCAGGAACCCCCATCCTGCTGCATTGCTGCTACATCCCAGAGGGATGCTGGCCCTGCCCCGGAGAAGTGGTCCACCAGGGTTCAGCTTCACCTCTTTCCACCAAGGGGGAGCAAGAAAGGGGCTGGAGAGTGAAGGGAGGAAGCAGGAAGAGCTTCCTCTGGTGCAGCTCATGCTTCCAGAGCCAGCCTGGGTTTTATTTCCTTGCCCGGGATGATGCTCTGGCCTGCTGGGGTTCTGCATGCTGGTGAGTCAGGGTGGATGGTTTGCAGAGCCCTGTGCGCCTGGAAGTGCTGCAGGGCAGCCAGGGTCTGGCAGACAGGGCTCAGCAGTGGAGCCTTATCTCACCTTATCAGGATTTCCCTAACAGCACAGACAGAGGCCAACACCACAGACAGTACAGAGTCCACTCTGCAGCTGTGATACGGCTGCTGTGCGCCACCCGTGGCATTGCCTGAGGTGTTGCAAAGGTCTCCCAGCTGCTATGTCACCTGGTGGGGCCAACTCTAGGCTCCGTGGCCCCTGCCCCGTGGAAGGACATTTCCACCCTGCAGGCTCTGTTCAAGTGGGATGAGGGCTGGCATGCTGGTGCTGGGGAAGGGCTTTGCTAGGGCATACCCTGGCCCTGGGGGAACCAGCCTTCAGCCACCCCACCAGGAACCACAGAGCTCTCCTGCTGCGGGCTCTGCCACACTGCGCTGCACTCCTGTGCCCTGAACTCCCAGTGCACCCAGGGCTGCCCCATGCCAGCCTGAGGGGGCCCTATGGGGAGATCCTCACGTCAGCAGCATGGCGCAGCCTTAGCTTGCCAAGTGTGTGAGCATGTCAGGGACTCAGGACCCAGTTTGGGTTTGTCTGGAAGATAATGGAGGATAAGGAGAGACACCCGGTGCTCTGGCCTTCACTCCCCAAGCAGCTGGTGGGGGGGGCATGGCTGACCCCATGCCACAGAGCACCCCACTGTCTTACTGGCCAGATGCTGCCCTGCTGCTGGCTGCTGGGGTGAGGCTGGGGTCTGGCTGGCCAGGGTGTGGGGCTGAACCCTGGGCTGCCTGCCCCAATGAGCAGCGCTGTGCAGCCCTGCCCCTGGCTCTGCTGACGTGTCTCAAGGTCACAGGCAAGGCCAACGTGGGGCTGAGATGCCAAGGGCTCACGCCTGTGCTGCCGCAGCGCTTGGAGCACTGCTGACGTTGCAGTGGGGGGGTGCTGGGCTCCAGCAGAGATGTCGGCAGCTGCAGTCCCGTGAGGTGAGAGTGGCCAAGCGGGTCCCAGGCTGGGTCAGCAGGAGTGCAGGGATGAGCTGGTGAAGCGATTGTTCCTCCCTGCTCTGCACACCATGTCCCATTTGGGGCTCCCCAGTACAAGAAAGACATCTCATACTGGAAGGAGGCTGGTGGAGCCTGCTGAGCTGGTCAGGGCTGGAGCTGGGATTCCTTGGGCTGGAGGAAGGCAGAAGTGGGATCTTATTTGCCCTGAACTGCACGTCATGGCAGGGCTCATTCCTTCTCCCTTTGCACCCCCAGGCCAGCACAGGCACTGGGGACATCCTGAGGACAGGGACTGGATGTCTGGGCAGTGCAGGTGACTGCTGGACCTGGGGCTTTGTCTGTGTCCCAGAGCTGACACATCCCCGTCTGCCCCCACGTCCAGCCTTGCCCTTCGCCCCAGCCAGCCGACAGTGCTGGCTCCCTGCGGGCATGCAGGCGTGCAAGCATGTTTACTGCACATGCTGCCAGCCCCGTCCTGCTCGTATCCCCACAGGAGAGGCACCAGTGGATGGGTGGCACAGCTCTTCCCTCGCTGGAGAAGGAGCTGTTACCCTGTCTGGGGAGGAGCTTGAGCTTTTCACAGTGCAAGCAGGGAGGGGAGCTGGCTCAGCAGAGACCTGGGCAACCCCAACCAGATCCTGTGTGTAAAAAACTGAGTGGCTCGAGGACTGCCACAAGACACTGCTCTTCGTGTGGGGCATCCACGGTGGTATTGCATAAGGAATTGCTGCAGTACCGGATATGAGCCTTTCTGCTTTCCACTGCTCTAAGCTGGAACTTGGAACTTTGTGGAAATAAAAAGAAGAAAGGATGAACACACGTCCATCCTGTTCAAAAGGGCATCCAGGGCCCTGGATATGGAAGACAGAGCAGAGAAACAACTTCTTTATGTAGGCAAATCTCTTGTGAAGATTGGAAGCCAAAACAAGAGTTGGAGCAAGTGAAGGGATGATGCAGTTGTTTCACACCTGAGCTGAGGTTATAAATTCAACCAGCCTCCAGACCCAAGGGAGACTCTTGAGGGCTGGTGTGGACTCTGCCATGCACCCACAAGTCCCCCCATCCCCTGCTGGGACACGGTGAGTTGGCACTCCCCAGCTGGCAGCTGTCACGGCCTTTGCCTGGGTGCCACCACATCTGTCACCCTCCTCTGCCTAGGAGAGCCTGGGTTAAGCCATGCCTCCATGTCACATGTTTGTCCCACTTGGGTCCCCTCCTTTGGCACCAAGACCCAATGCTGGGGCCACCCTGTCATGATTTTGTGGGCACCCTCAGCACACAGCAGCCCAGAGTGCTCCCAGTGCCTCCACCCCAGCCCGCTGGATCAGGGTGGCTGGGCTGGCAGGAGCAGAGCTCAGTCTTTCCATGAGCACTGAGATGTGGTGAGACTCAGGCTCTTCTGCTGCTTTCGTGGCATCTGTCTGCTCCCCGGCTGCCACCTGGGGCCAGAGGCTGTGGTCATGGGCTTGACTCACCCATGCTCTGCAGCCCTGGCTCTAGGGTAGAGCAATGTTTTGGGCTGGGGTGACACTGGTGTCCATGGGTGCTCAGCCCACCCTGGGCAAAGACAGGCTGGGCATGCTCCACTTGCACAGCCAAGCCCACGTGCCTGACCCCACACCCTGGGGAGGCTGCACCTGGGGACAGGATGTGGTATGCACCCGTAGCCCCTTAAGGAAAGGGCCATCCCTCTAGAATGTATTTTCTAGTATAGGTTTATGGGAGAAGGGATTAAAAAAGGGGGAATTATCTTCTCTCTTGCACTTGCCAGACTCACAGTGCAGAAGCTGGGCTGGCTCCATCAGCTATTTTCAGTGCAAGTCCTGGCTGCGGAGATGATGGTGAGTCAGATCAGGCTCCACGCTCATCTGAAGGTCCTGTGGCTCACAGGAGTCCTCTCTTGTCCCAGGTCTTCAGCTGGGAATGCAGCCTCCTTCTCCAAGGGCCATGGAGCACCCTGAAGGTCCCGGGCAGCTTGGTCTAAGTGACCCTGCTTGATCTGGGGACTAGATGATCTCTGGTCTCTAAATTGAAGACACACGGATTCGACAAATGGACCACTCAGTGGATAAAGAACTGGCTGGACGGTCGCACTCAA